ATATATATATATATATATATATTGCGGCTTTTTTCTTGACATTCTGAATGTTTCTAAGCAAATACAATTTTTTTATTTAAAAAAAATACAGCTTTATTTAAATTTCACCTAAAATGCCTTTTCTCCAAAAGCTATCCAAATTTTATCTTTTCCTTCCTTTGTTTGGTGATGTCACTGTTGTTGGGCAATCATCTGCTTCCCTGCAGCAAGCCAGTAAACCTGGTGCTACTGAACTGTAAATCTGTCCCTGATGTCTGGCCTCATTAGTCCAGAGAAAATCAACATGACATTTGCTGCCCAATCTTTTCGTGTCTGTGATTTCGGATTATGAAGTGTTCCCCGAGGACAGGAGAAAAAGAGCTAGCTGGTTTAAGGAATACAGTTTAGCTGCCATAGGGAAGAATTCATGAGACCACAAGCCTGAGCTTTTTTGTTCACCAATTAGTCAAGGATTAACTCTACTATCACAGTCAGCCTTCTAGAAAAAGACTGCTTGGTGAAGATTACATCTTGCTGTCTTCTACTATCTGTCAACCAGCCCAATCCTACTACTCTTCCCCCTCCCCCATTTCTGACAATGGGTCACTGATGGCCACTGGGGGTGACATCAGGATTCATGGCCATGGTAATGTCACATGGAAGGAAGAGAATAAACAGATGAATAAGTTCTTTGACTTACTTGGGGGAAATGAATTAATCTTCCACAAAAGATTACTGTGCATAAATAGCTCCTTACTACGATACAGTACAACATTCTATTCCCACAGATGATTTAGCATGTTAGTCACATAAAATATAAAAATACCATTAGAATTTAAACCCAGACAAAATTGTTTAGGATAAAATTTCTGTATTAGAAGAGTTGTTATTACCTTAAATTCTGACAGCCATTCTTCCACAACCCCTATCTCTGAGGTGAACATCTTTCCACATGTGTTCCAAACCTTTAACCTGAAAATGAACACAGAAAAGTATGAAATATTTGAATTAATTTTATTTCAGACTTAATACTTTGTACAGATGTGTTCCTATAGCTAGTTACTCCTTACTTGGGAAATTAGTTGCAAACATAAATTACTGCATTCATTTAAAACCCAATATCCACAGATAAACCTTAATGTAAGATTCTAACAAAAGTAAAATATCATAAGATAATAAAACTGCATCTACAATTTTCATTCAGCTTTCAGGAATGTCAGAAGAATTCAAACATTCTTTATTTTTGATTGTATAATTTCAAAAAGATCATCTTAAAATTGTGAAAAAGACTTGAAAAGATTTGTTAACTACACATTCTATTGCAAGGGACTGTTTCTTGGATTAAATTTTATAATGCAACTAAAAGCACTTATTATGGTGCCTGGCAATAGTGTTCTTACTCAGTAATAAAGAATACCACAAACCTGGTCCTGCTGTCTTTTAAAGTCTACAGACAAACCTAATGAAAAATACATTTTCTTGTCAACAAATATATTAATCCATGGTGACTTGAGTGAAATATAGCTTATTTTTTTAGTAAAAAAAGAAGTCCATTTTCAAGTCAAGACTATCAGAAAAACACACATTTATACTGGTTGCCTTTTATTTTATAGAATTCTCTAGATAAACGAGGTTTGGAATTATGTTCAAATATTAACCAAAGCACTGCTATATCAGGCATTACTTTTAAAAGTCAATAGAGTGGGGAAAAAAATCACATCTTCAAATGTCAAAACTGGGGGAAATTCTCCTTTAAAGCAAAAGGGTTATTTTTATGTTGATTCCTATGAATTGTAACTGATTATCTTGTTTTGACTCTAATAAAGTTGATAGCAAACTTTCTTCTCAGTCTGCCAAAAAGGCAAGTCTCCATTAACTTTATCCATTGCTTTAGTCTACATCCTTTCATTTTCTTGTTTTGTTTTTGTTTTGCCTTAGTTGGGTGGTTGGTTGGTTGGCTGGTTGCCTGGTTGGTTGGCCGGTCGGCTAGTTGTTTCTCAGAGAGGGTTATACTCTATATCCTGGCTGCCCTCAGATGCACAACCTTCCCGTTTCTGCAGTGCTGTAATTATAGGCTTTAAGACATACGCTCAAGCTACTTTACATTCTTACTCATTTTCTTCCCACCTCCACTTACTGACATTATATACCCTATTGTATGTATTTGTGAAACAGAGCAAATATAGAATCATGTGTTTTCTTTTTATTTTTTACTGCTTAATAAATAATAAAATGTATCAGAAATAGGCCTTAATATATCATTCCAAATAATAGGAATGGTAAGATTTTCGTGAAAATTCAAAACAAATGCTGTTAAAGTTATGCCCAAATTTTATATTATTAAGAAGAATTAATAGGGGCTGGTGAGATGGCTCAGTGGTTAAGAGCACTGACTGCACTTCCAGAGGTCACGAGTTCAAATCCCAGCAACCACATGGTGGCTAACAACCATCTGCAATGATATCTGATGCCCTCTTGTGGGGTGTCTGAAGACAGCTACAGTATACTTACATATAATAAATAAATAAAACTTAAAAAAAAAAAGAAGAAGAAAGAAGAATTAATAGGATGTGCAAAGGGCATAGGAATGGTCAAGGTCTTGCAAACAACAAAGGTGGAAGACTTGGACTTAAGATAGCAGAGTTTACTGTAGAACCTAACAAACTCTAAATTAGCATAGTATTCTCAGAGGACAGAAAAATAAGCCAACAGACCAGGACAGAGTGGTCAGAAGCAGACCTACAAATACATGGCCATTTGTAAATATCACAAAATACATGATTGACCACAGAATACATGGCTTCAATTCTGTGAGGGAGGGACAGTCTTTAAAATAAATGTGGCTAGGTCAACTGGACAGGTGTGTGGGCAGAAAAGGGAAAGAAAGGAAGACAGGAAGACAGGAAGGAAGGAAGGAAGGAAGGAAGGAAGGAAGGAAGGAAGGAAGG